TTCCTAAATCCCTCGTTTTGCACAGTGTTGATGGAGCCATATCTTTGGTCAGGTGATAAGTAATAGCCTCCGTAATTTCTTTGTGCCTGCGGGAGTTCGACGGGTATAGGGAAGCGCTGTATAAGGTTCCCGTTATTGATGTTTGGGTGGTTGACCGGGACGGATATTCTCCAGTCAATTTCTCGTCATCCCTGACGTGCTCTCCGTTGTTTTTTCCCTGACAATTTTAGCAGCCAGCTTCTGTATCACGTGGTATACGGCTCCGCCCTTGTCATTTGTTGAGCAGGAAGAGTGAGCGCTTGTTTTCATGCAGAATACGTCCCGGATCAAAATGCGGTACAATCGTCGTTGTTTTTTTGTTTTTTTTTATCGTTGTCATTTGGAAATGAGATCGCACATAAGTATGAATTGAGATCGCGATTTTCTAACGATTAATCGTGCAGCCCTAGTATCCAGCAAACATCTAAATTTCTAATTTCTAATATTTAGGGTTGCTGTAGCTCAGGAGATGACTTTACCTCCTGAGCTATGCTGGTTCAATCCACTGCCAATCCACCACCTGCTTCATCCCCAACCGGTTGGCCGCCCCTCCCTGAGCCTGGTTCTTCCTATTTAAAGGGATTTTTTTCCTTCCCACTGTCGCCTAGTACTTGCTCAAAGAGGGTAGCTTGACTGTGGGGGGTTTCTCTCTATTATAGGGTCTTTACCTTACAACCCCTTGAAGCTATTGTTGTTGTTGTGATTATGCACTATATGAATAAAACAGATTTTGGAATTTAATTGAATTCGATCCCTGGCTGCTCCCGCCTGCATGGCGAAGTATCCTGGGTCTAAATGCTGAACTCCAAGTTGTTCTCTGATGTGTTCATTGGAGTGTGAATGTTTGTGAATGCAAGATAGAAAGCACTAGAAAAAGTGCTTATATGAATAGGTGTGAATGGGGGATGTTGTATAAAGCGCTGTGAGTAGAAATAAGAACCATATAAGAACCAGTCCAGTTACCATTTACTTGTAAATGTACATGATTTATTGACTAATCAATAAATCAGCAGATCACTTCAGCTGTACTAACATGGATTTCAGAAGCTGTTGTCCGAAGCAGCCACATACATGCACAGTGGACGCTTACTACTTAATTGTGGCCAGTCTGTGCTTGTTTTAGGGCCCCATGGGAGAGGACTCCACTGTGGACCAAGCTTTTATTGGTCAGTGAACACACAAACAGTCACCCGCTAGTACACGTGCACACACCTATAACCCATTAACGCCCCCCTGCAATCCCACTGCAGTCACTTTGCCCAAGTCTCATCCAGGCTCTCCTGGGACCAAGGCTTGGTGATGAAAGTGTGAATTAATCTCCTCTAACAGTGGTGTGTGTGTGTGTGTGCATTTGCACACACCTCAACATATAAACAGCAGGGGTCTCGCAAAAGGATTTAATTCTCTCTTTGAGTGACACACTTGTGCAGCACTACCTCACAAACACACATGGTCACAGAGGGAGTCAAACAGGTGAAACAAAGCACTCTACATCAGGTATTTGGGGTTGTAGATTAGAATGAATGTGTTGCTATGGAAAAGGAAGAAGAGGCAGGCATGCTGAGTCAGCAGTGAGATCTGCAATTCCCCCTCTCTTTGTGCTCCTTGAGCCTCTGTTGCAGACTTCGTGCTTTGACCAGTTAAAGTCTATCAAGACCGATAAAGTCTATTTTGCCAATCAGAAAGAGAGAGATTACAATCCCCATCTATAACAGTGTCAAAAAATAGCTGCTTCACATTGTTTTTACAGGGATATTCAAACCTTTACAGTGTTATTTCCTCTGCTAAATCAGTTTTTGGGGGTCAAACATTCAAGTGCTGTGAATTGGCCTTGGTTTTTGCTCTTAACTTGAAAGGAGAAATTTGGAGCCTATTTGCATTTTTAAGTAGTCCCTCAGTCGTTGTGATGAACATCAGCTGTTGCATTTGTTTGCTCATTGTTTTTCTGTTTTTGTTTTGCTTTGAATAGCACGAGATTTTTATAGTAAATCAATTTTAGTATATTTAGTCTCTTTCAATCTTGGCAGCATGGTGTTGTTGTTCCCTCACAATAAAATCCACCTTTCTCTGTGTGTATGTTTCTCCTTGTGTCTGCATGGGTTCTCTCCAGGTGCTCTGGCTTTGTCCTGCAGTTCAAAGACATGTGGTTAGTGGGGTTAGATTAACTGGTGACTCTAAATTGCCCATACGTGTTAGTGGTTGTTGGTCTCTCTGTGCTGTGCAACAGACTGGTGACCTATTCAGGGTGTGCTCTGCCTTTTGCCCTATGGCAGCCAGGATCGGTTCCAGCCCCTCCCCTGAGACTTTGAATTGCATAAGCGGAAGAGAGTGGATCTCTGTCAATCAACTAAATTATGTTAAGTCTTATTAAAGCACAATAATACCCAGACTCAATTGTGGCACCTGTCTTTTATTATCAGTTCTCATACTGACTGCAGCGTTGTTCTCAATTTTCAATTCTCTTGTTTTAGTCCTGTTTAGCATGTGTTTTAGCTAGATTTTCAGAAAATGTGTCACTGTATATAGCCCAAAGGAAGCATGGTTGTACACTGATTAGCCCTGCCAAATCATAGCAAGAGTGTTCCTGGTTTGAACCCACTGGGGCCATTCTGCGTAAAGTTTGTTATACAGAAAAAAAATCATTTATCAAGTTTTAGGTGTAAAACTAAAACCAATTTCTTGGGAAAATGGGGAAAAAATGCAGACATATTTATGGTCACGTTTTTCTCA